AAGGATTAACTTCCCCTTCCCGACCATTTTACCAGTCTAAAACAGTCATTAACAATTAGTCCCTGAGAAGAACAAAAAAGTCCTAAGGTGAGGTTACTCAGGTTCTAGCCATTCTGGTTTGCTGCAGTTGTCCATCTGATCTGGTCAGGTTTGCCAAAAGTCCATCTCATCTTTACTTCTTGTCGCCTCTGATAAAATTTAACTGAGAGAAGATTTTTCCCTTGCGCTCAGTCTCAAGGTATCAGCATATAATGTTAGATTTCCCCTGCTGCATAACCCATTTGTTCATTCCTTTACCTTCAGCTATTATTTCTCCTTCCTTCCATTATTACCCAAACTTTTCCACCTTGGGAAGGGACATCAGATTCAGCTGCTGTGCCAGTCCAAATTGCTGATAGCAAGCTGAAAGAATTGAAAAAAATTCAAGTCTCAAGTTGCAATATTGTAGAATTCTATGGGGAAAATATTAAACGATGCAGGAAGCATCAAAAGAAGATGAAAGAAATACACAGAGTCACTGTACCAAAAAGAATTGTTCCATATTCAACTATTTCAGGAGGTAACATATGATCAAGAACTAATGGTACTGAAGGAGGAAGTCCGATCTGCACTGAAGGCATTGGCAAAAAACAAGGCTCCAGGAACTGAAAGAATACCTATTGAGATGTTTCAGCAAAAAAGATGCAGCACTGGAGGTGCTCACTCGTCTATGCCAAGATTTGGAAGACAGCTGCCTGGTCAACTGACTGAAAGAGATCCATATTTGGATCCATTCCAAAAAAAGGTTATCCATTAGAATTTGGAAATTATCGAACAATATCATCAATATTACACAGAAGTAAAATTTTGCTGAAGGATCATTCCAAAGCAGTTACAGCAGTACATTGACAGGGAACTGCCAGAAACTCAAGCCAGATTCAGAAGAGGACATGGAACAAGAGATATCATTGCTAATGTCAGATGGATCTTGGCTGAAAGCAGAGATTACCAGAAAGATGTTTACCTGTGTTTTATTGATTATGCAAAGGCCTTCGACTGTGTAGATCATAACAAAATTATGGATAAACTGCAAAGAATGGGAATTCCAGAACATTTCATTGTGCAAATGATGAACCTGTGCATAGACCAAGAGGCAGTCATTGGAACAGAACAAGGGAATCCTGCGTGGTTTAAAGTCAAGAAAGGTGTGTGTCAGGGTTGTATCCTTTCACCATACTTACTCAATCTGTATGCTGAGCAGATAATCTGAGAAGCTGGACTATGTGAAGAAGAACGGGGCATCAGTATTGGAAGAGGACTCATTAACAACCTGCAGTTACACAACCTTGCTTGCTGAAAGTGAAGAGGACTTGAAGCACTTACTGATGAAGATCAAACACTACAGCCTTCAGTATGGATTACACCTCAACATAAAGAGAAGAAAAATCCTCACAACTGGACCAATAAGCACGATAAACTGAGAAAATATTGAAATTGTTAAGGATTTCATCTTACTTGGATCCAAAATCAACGCCCATGGAAGCAACAGTCAAGAAATCAAACGACGCATTGCACTGGGCAAATCTGCTGCAAAATACTTCTTTAAAGTGTTAAAAAGCAAAGATGTCACTTTGAGAAGTAAGTTGCGCCTGAGCCAAGCCATGGTGTTTTCAGCCACCTCATATGCATGCAAAACCTGGGCAATGAATAAGGAAGACCGAAAAAGAACTGATGCCTTTGAATTATGATATTGGCGAAAAATATTGACTATACCATGGACTGCCAGAAAAATGAACAAATCTGTCTTGGAAGAAGTAATGCTCCTTAGAAACAAGGATGGTGAGACTTTGTCTCACATACTTTGGATAGGTTATCAGTAGGGACCAGTCCCTGGAGAAGGACATCATGCTTGGCAAAGTAGAGGGTCAGCGAAAAAGAGGAATACCCTAGATGAGACAGATTGAGACAGTGGCTGCAACAATGGGCTCAGGCATAACAATGATTGTGAAGATGGTGCAGGACTGGGCAGTGTTTCATTCTGTCATACATAGGGTCACTATAAGTCGTAATGGACTCGATGGCACCTAACAACAACAACAACAAAACAGTGTTTCAGGGACTATGCTAGGCAATTTATATATGTTAATTTTTATAATAGCCTTCATTTTAAAGAAGAAAGCTAGGTATATTTTTCTCCCATTAGTATAAGGATACTAGTTCAAAATGAGTAAATTAGTTGGCTTGGGGCACATTCACTAGTTTGTGAAGAATATTAATTTGCTCTTTTTTTCTTTTTAACACTCTATGAATTTTTATTAAGCTAAGAAATAGGCTTTCCCCGGATTTCCCAAGCATGAGACAGTCTTTTCATACAGTCTGCCATGAGACTTTAAAAAAACTCTCCCTAAGACAATGTGAGTGGAATAAAATAATCCTCCAGTTGTCTAAGCATTGCTTTTGGAAATAGATACTTGTTGACATTATTTTCAATCACCTCATATGCATCCAAAAGCAGGACAATGACTAAAAAGACCTAAGAAGAACTGATGCCTTTGAATTATGGTGTTGGTGGAAATATTGAATATACCATGGACCGCCAGAAGAATGAAGAAATCTGTCTTGGAAGAAGTACAGTCAGAATGCTCATTAGAAGCAAAGATGGCGAGACTTCATCTCACGTACTTTGGACATGTTATCAGGAGGGACTAGTCACTGGAGAAGGACATCATGCTTGGTAAAGTAGAGAGTCAGCAAAAAAGAGGAAGACCTTTAATTAGATAGATTGACACAGTGGCTGCAACAATGGGCTCAAGCATAACAATGATTGTGAAGATGGTGCAGGACTGGGCAGTGTTTCATTCTGTTGTACATAGGGTTGCAATGAGTTAGAACCAACTCGAGGGCACCTAACAATAACAACAATGCTTACTGACATTAATCTCTTATCCCCCTGAAATCACCATTCCATGTATGTTGGTATTCAGGTAAAAGTTTGGCAGTACTGAGGGAAGTCAATAAGTTTTGGAAAGATGTGAGTACCTTCAGAACTCTGAAATAGATTTCAAGCATGAAGGCAAAACAGAAAGAATGACTGTTTTACTATTCATTTATTACTCTTGTAGATGAAAGCACAGTTTTGGACCAAAGAGTCAAGGAGTTCAGTAGTCTACAGTAGCCACCACCAAGCTACTGTACAGTCCTACCCCAGGGTTTCATGAGTTTAACAGTAGCAGAGCTCTGTGAGTGACTGAAACTTAAAAGACTAAAACAACTAAGAACTTTTCCATGCACAAATGCACAAATAGAGACAAAGCTGGTGTTATAGATTCAATTGTGTCCCCCAAAATATGTGTTGTAAATCCTAACTACCATACTCATGGTTATAATCTCATTTGGGAATGGATTTTCCTTGTTATGTTAATGAGACAATATCAATATAGGGTATATTTTAAGTCAATGTCTTTTGAAATATAAAAGAGCAGATTAAGCAAGGAAGCACGGATGGAGGGAAAGATACACGCCACATGATCGCCAAGGAACCTGGGAATAGAAGCTGAGAAAAGACTAGGACCTTACCCCAGAGCAGACAGAGAGAAAGCCTTCCCCTAGAACTGGCGCCCTGAATTCAGACATCTAGCCTGCTAAACTGTGAGAAAATAAATTTCTGTTTGTTAAAGCCACCCACTTGTGGTATTTCTGTTATAGCAGCACTAGATGACTGAGACAGCTGGTTTCTCGGCAGAGGGGACTTTCTAAGGAACATAAGTGGGACCTCTCATTGTTGACTCTCTGTAGAGTCCCTGAGGCACCCAGGAAGGCCAGGTCTCACAGCGAGACTCCAGCAGTGCTCGTGTAGGAAACAGAGTCAGCTGAGCTCCCCTCCTCCCCTCCAATTAGATGCTCCCAGACACGTAGTCCACACAGTCATGGCTTCTTCTAGATCTTGTGAACTCAAGAATACCTATTTTCGGTTTTAAAAAGATCAAACATGACTTCTTCTAATAACAAAATTAAAATTTAATATGACTTTTAAATCCAAAATACAACACAAAGAGTAATATGTTGCTTATATAAAGACCTGTAAATATTGCTCATAATTTTAATCACAGAGAAGATTACCCTACAGTCTTGCCAAGTCTTATTTTTATTTTCTTGTGTGTGTATGTATGTGTGTACTGATGAGATTTAAGACTCTTGCATTTGCAAAATGCTACATTTATCCAAAGTTAAAAATGGTCCCAGAGCTCATCATTCTTTGCAAGTGTATTCTAAATTTTCCTAGTGTGAAATTTAGTTCTACTAAGTTCATGCTCAAATTTATTCTGTATTCATGAACTGTATAGCAATATGGGTCTCTTCAGTGACTATTCACTCCTATTTCTAATATTGAGGACGTCATTTGAAAAAGAATGGTTAGATCATGGAGTCATATATTTTCAGAGCTAGGGAGAATTTTCAGTTAAAGATAGTGATGTGTTGAGATTGACTTTTTCAAGGTCCCATAGCTTGTAACCAGAACTAGAACCAAACTGCAGGTGTTTTGAAACTTAGTCCATTACCTGTTTTTATAGATGTATAGAAGAAAAAAATTGCCCATTTCTCTGAATTCTTTATCCACGTATTCCAAATTATGGATCCTTTTAAGTGAAAAGTGTACCTTGGTTCTTTCTTTTATGAGCTTTAATTCAGACATTCTATGGTAGCTGTCTCACCCATGCTGTAAGAAACTATTTACTAGTCAATTCACTTAAAAGTAATTTATTTAATTATGGCCTAAGCAACTGAATAATACACTAGTACATTGGAGGCACCATTCACAGGGAAGCTTTTTTTAATTATTAGATCTTCTTACCCCATCTTTGGCCTTTGAAGTGATCCAGTGTGTATAGAAAATTCCTTAAAATACTCTTGAAGTGCCCGGGAGGCTATTAGGCTTTTCTTTTTTTTTTAAATCCTAAGCTGGTGTCATTTTGTACCAGGAAGTATCCATTCCTTCATTCGTCTGTATTTTCACATTTTAGGAAATTCAGCCAGAATCTGGTTGCTCAGCTTTGGTATTTTGTGAAATGTGTTTACTTTGGATTATCTGCCTACCAAATCCGTTGCGGCTACCCAACACGAGTCCTTGGAAACTTCCTCACAAAGAGCTACAATTATGTCAACCTCTTCTTGTTTCAAGGGTAAGTTTACTCTACGTTGTCACCATCACTTATAAAGATGAGACTGGCAATTGATAATCATTTGTTTTCTCCTACCTGGGGACAAATGGGAAGGGTAGAAATGCTGAAATAAAGCAGTTGGTAACTCACAGTGTTTGGCAAGAGAATAATTATGCCTCTTTAAGCACATTTCTATGTGTAGTTGCCACACACTGGCCAGGATGTTCCAGGACCATCCACATGGGTTCATTTTCTATTTTAGTATCCCCTATAATTGCTGTGATAATATTTTAGAACAAAAAACAGATATGCATGAGTTAAGCATTAATATACTTCTTTGCACAAGGGACAGAATACTTGGAATCTGGACGATTCCAAAATACCTGGCCAGCTTGGTGTCAAGTAAGTTCATTCATTGCAGAGGGGTGTTTATCCTACATAATACCAAATGGAATGACACATGACTTGATTTTTCCTGGTAGTAAATTAGCTAGCTACTCAAAAGAGGCATATTGGTTCTCCCATATGATGATTTAGTGGCAGTATCTCTTCTCAGTTCCCTGGGAAATGATGCCACGTTATAAAAGGTGTGGTTACATGTGGCTCCACTGGCCTCTTCATGGCGCTTGGCCTGGGAATGAGTAGCTCAGCACAGGGAGAGCACTCAGATGTCGAGTAGTGTTTCACATAGTGCTATACTGTGTCCAGGTTGACATCTTTTTCAGGGATTGGGTTATTGTTCATTCTGAGGTATAATTTTTGAGTGGTAACCCAAACTACTGTGAGGACACTGGGATTATCTCAGGTTTTCAAGCCTGGGAGAAGCTCTGTGACAGTCAAGAAAAAGGAACATTCCCCCAGGCCCCAGAGGAGCTAAGCCAAGCCATTCCCAACTGAAATACAAGTGGTCCAGCCAGAGTCACGTCAGTCTTAGCAAGCCCATTGCTGTTGGACGTGCCACTCAGGACCGAGGACATTCCCGCTCCAGCTGACTTCTCTTGTTTGCCCTCATCTTTTGCTGACCACATCTATAATCTTCACTAACTCATTCTACAACAAAACCACAACTCTACCATTGTGAATAATTTTCAATAATCCTATGCTCAATAGATTCTCATAACATACACACATAAATGTAAAAAAACTGGTTCATCTCATAATGAATTTGAAGAGGAAATCCCAATTTGTTAAGACTATTGTGGAAAAAAGGAATATAAAATACTAGTCCATACATTGGACTTCTAATGAACAGCAGTTGTTTTCCAAGTATACTTTTCCTGTAAGGGTTGCCTAGAGAATTTTTCATAAGTCTTGAGGGCTAAAATAATTCCAACAGACATGAGCTTCTGGGATGAGAAGGATGATGGGGCCATCCCTCAATTGTCTCTGTAATATGATGTGATTCCTGTCAGGTTCCGCCTTGTTCCATTTTTGACTGAGTTGAGAGCTGTGATGGACTGGGTGTGGACAGACACTACCCTAAGCCTTTCCAGCTGGATTTGTGTGGAGGACATTTATGCTCACATATTCATCCTGAAGTGTTGGCGAGAATCAGAAAAAGTAAGAAACCAATAAAAGTGCCTATATCCCTGTTTGTTTCTCTTCAGTACAGGCTATTTATAAAATTAAAGTGAAGTTCTGCAAGTTTTGTGGCCAAATAAATGGTGGTGGAGGCAAAAACAACTAGGACCTGTAAATGTCCCATCGATTTCCAGTCCAACTAGAGTAAGGAATTTTAGACTCACTGCTGCCTTTTTCAGCAATATCATCCAGGTGTTTTCTTTTGGCAAGTGTATATTGTAGTTCTTTTAAGAAAAAGAAATGATATATTGTTGTATAACCCAATAATTCTTAAGTGGTTATATAGGAGCAAGAGGGAATGTGGTTTGGTGGGAAAAGTGGGGTCAGGTGGCTTGGATTCATGCACACTCTCTGACTCACACTTTATGAAGGACAAATAATTTAACCTTTTTGTACAAAGGAAATTGAAGTGCAAACATTTTCTTATTCTGTTTGGTTGAATATTAAGGTTTACAAATGGGTAGAATTGCTATTATTTAATGGATTTTTAAAAAGTTTAATATATGGAATAGGAGCCTGATGCATAACTGCAATAGAAATACCCAATAAACATTAGCCACAGTGATATGAAGTATCTTTATTATCATCTCGGTACTACCCTCTTTGGAAGAGTCCCCTGTAATGCATATAATTTGGAATGTTTTCTTCAGCTTCTGTTAATTTCAGCTTCACAGTTAGGGGTTGCATTGTGTTGTGGCCTTGGTATTTATGGGGTTTGTGGGAGTGAAGTTGATGGGGGCTTGCAGTAGACTGAAAAGCATATTGGCTTATCCTGACTTTTAAGGAATCCACAGGCTGGTAGACTTGGAGTAGGAAAGTTGACATGATGACAGAATATGGGAGCCACTCTACCAACAGACATTGAAGACAGCAATCAGAACGACAAACGAAATCATGACACGTGAGGAAAAGTAGGGAGAACTGAGAATTATGTGGTCTGAAGTAGAAAAAAATGGAGGGAGACAGAAATAACATCTGTTTTCAACTATTTGAAACGTTGACAAATAGAAGAGAAATTAGAATCAATTTGCACCACTCAAGAAAACTGAATTAAGTAGGTAAAAATCTCCCGTAGGTTTCAACAGAATATAAAGAACTTTCTAACAATCAAAGCTACCACCAGCTCAGAATTGGCTGCCCTGGAAGATTATCACCAAGAGATGTCCAAGTACATGGAAGATCACACAGAGAAAAGGATTCACATCATAAAACATCTGGCTAGAAAGCACTAGGTCTCCCTCCAGCTCCTGGAGTCACCAGTTCAGCAAATATTATATCATTAACCTAGTGCTGCTAACAAACCACATAGATAACAGAAACTTAGTGGTTTAAAAGAACTACCGTCTTATTTGCTCACAGCTCAGTGGGTCGGCAGTTTGGGCTGGGCTCCACTGGACACCTCTGCTGCTGCTCTGGCCGGGTCACTGCTACGGCAGCAGCCCAGCCAGGTCTATATTTTGTTGGACGGTCTCACTCAGGTGTCCAGCTCTTGGCTGGGCCTCTTTCTCCATGAGCGTGGTCATGCTCAAGGAAGCCAGTGGGGCTGCTTCCCATGGTGGTAACACATCCAAAAGAAGGGAGAAGGAAAGTGTAAAGTACCCTAACCATCACATTCACCATGTTCTGTTGGTCAAAACAAATCAAAAGTCCAGCCTAGGTTCAAGGAGATAGAGAGCTTGGTTACAGGAGTAGCAAAATCATGTTGCAGAGTGTCTTAGTCTTCTAGTGCTGCTATAACAGAAATACCACAAGTGGATGGCTTCAACAAAGAGAAGTTTATTCTCTCACAGTCAGTAGGCTAGATGTTCAAATTCAGGGCAACGGCTCCAGGGGAAGGCTTTCTGTCTCTGTCAGCTCTGGAGGAAGGTCCTTGTCATCAGTCTTCCCTTGGTCTGGGAGCATCTCAGCACACGAACATCAGATCCAAAGGACGCACTCTGCTCCTGGCACTGCTTTCTTGGTGGTATGAGGTACCCAAGTCTCTCTGCTTGCTTCTCTCTTTTATATCTCAAAAGAGATTGGCTTAAGACACCATCTAATCTTGTAGATTTCATCAATATAACTGCCGCTAATCCATCTTATTACATCATAGTGATAGAGTTTACAACACATAGGGAAATCACATCAAATGACAAAATGGTATACAATCATACAATACTGGGAATCACGTCTTAGCCAAGTTGACAGATATTTTGGGGGGACATGATTCAATCCATTACACAGAGGGTCATCCTTACAGGAATGAGATAAATTTGAGGACTTTTTTTTCTTTGTTTTGCAATGTACCTTAAATATTTACTAAGCACCTCCTATGTGCTCGGAGTTCTGCTGGACATGAGAGATAGACTAGTAATCGAAACATACAATGTTCTCCACTTTCATGGAACTGACAGTCCATTGGGAGAAACAGATACTAATGAAATAATCACACAAATACATGCAGTATTTGAGAATGCACTGACAGAGGGACACATGATATTCTGAGAGCAGTGGACAAATCTATGCTTTTCCCTAACTTGGATGAGGTCATCAGCAGAGAGCAAGAGGGAGAGATAGCATTAGAGGGGCAAGAACCTGGCCAAAGGGCCCTGGCAGCCTGTCTACTGGACAGCATTTCACCTGGTTACATAAGACGGGCTCTTATACGGGTGCACCTCATTCAGAGCAGACCCACAGAATGACAATGCCCAGTGTGACTGTGCCAGTGGATACAGGGCCACCTTTCAGATAAGAAGCTGGGGCTACTCTGGTCATAGGCTTATAAGTACCTATCAGTGCCTTTTGCCAACAGGTAACAGCATTCTTAACATGATCAATGAGGCCGTCATGCCATTGTCCTTCCTCCTTATGAAGGACAGGGTGGTTCTGACCTAGAAAACCAGGCATTTCTGCCAAACAAAAGACTTGCAATAACCTTTTATTTTTTATTATGAAATAAAAAGCCTCATTTTAATGTATCACCTCTGATTAAATCTATTTCCGAAAAATCAGCCATTGAAAACCCTATAGGGCACAGTTATTCTCTGACACACATGGGGTCACCATGAGTTGGGGTTGACTTGATGGCAACTGGTTCTACTTAAATATACACCTCTGTTTCATGTTAAACTGATAGCTATCTCAGAATATCAGCCTTTTAAATCATTCATGCTAAAACTTCCTGAGAAATTTAGGTATGTAGGAGAGAAGTCTTAAAGGAGTCTAAACAAACCTGACACTAGTTACTACTGCACCGGATTTGACCCCAGGGCATTACTAGAGACAATCACTTGTCTGGTATGGGATGATTAGTAAGCTCTTTCTTTTAAAGTAACTTTTCTTGAGGATTATTTCATATCAAACTTAATATGGATATAATTTTTAAAGCAAGAAAAATTTCCTGAAAGGCAAAATGTTGGCATGAGCTTACACATTGCAGGCCACTCACTTGGATTAATACTTTACACTGATTTCCACATAGCCACTTCCCAAAGCACAGTGGGGAGCTCATTGGAAATGTAGCACAGCAGGAATGGGCAAGGAGGCACATGGTAAAGGCTGAGTTACTTAGACAGGATGAGGGAGCGGCACAGGCCAAGAGGTGGACGGTCACTTTGAAAAGCGAGAGACAGTCTCAGACTTACAGATGGGTCAGAAGGCGTCTGCCCTGTTCTCCCTGAGAAATGTGTGAAGGAGTGAGGGGGATGATGGAGAGGGTGGAGGAGGGGTGCTGTGAACCCCCCGATGAGAGTCTCAGAGAGGTCCGTGTGTTCCTGCACCAGGCAGGGCAACCAAAAAGACTCTTGGCAGAGATTCAGTAAATTTCTTCAGCTCACAAAAGTCTTCATTGTTTAATACTAGAGTGCTGTTGAGAGTGGAATGAGAGGCAAATTTTCTACATTGGCCAAATGAAAAATTATGAAGTAGTAAAACTGCGTGTATGTAAGCATGTGTATGTTTCCTTTCAAAACAGAAAATTATGGTCAACAGTATCAAATTCCAGTGCAAATATATCAAAATACACTGCCACCATCTGAGCTTAGTACACCTTTCCGAGTGCTGAATCATGTAGAGGATTATCTTGCTTGCAGTGAGTGACTGATGCTGTCCGTATCGGCTCAAGTCCACCATCCAGTCAAGCCTCCATTCCCATGTTCCTGGTACCATCTTTGGCAACCACTGATTGTCAGAGCTTTTAAAAACCTTGTGGCAGAGCCCCTTAAGTTCCTCAAGGACATCCCCACTGACTCCTAGACCTCTCTCCTGGTCTGTGACCCATAGCTCAGTGCCTACAGATGGGAGTGGGATTATTCTTCCTTACCTTAACCTATTGAGGTGACCTGGTCACTTGTAGGGAGGGTAAGACCCAGGGTAAATCACGCTGTTGGGCTGGAGAGTGGGGACTACTATCAGGGTATACTAACTCTGAAAAGAAAATAGGTCACCAAGGAATATTTAATCAAGGAATATGCAGATAGATCTTAATGGTTTTAATCCCAGAGAGCTGAGCCAGATCCTGCCTTCCCAGGGCCTCTAAGCACAGTGCTTAGTGGGTCCTTAATGGACATATACTAAAGTGAACAGAAGTGATTCCAGCCCTACCAGCCCATGGTTCTCTACAGAGCACATCCCTCCCTGTGACACATGTACCGCCCCCCACACACCCACTCATACACAGCATCCAAGCAAGCGCCTCTACTGAAACGCTGGAGATGACTCTTCTAATATATGAGGCTGATTTTTGGGCTTGAATGTTGTCTTTGACAGCGTGTATCATGAATGGAATTAAAAATGTGTTTTCTCACCATTCAAGGTGGGGATGTCAGCTGAAATGCACAGATACTGAATATTTAGGAATCTAAAGTAAAATATCTTTTCTCCTGCATGATCTCTTAAAACCAGGTTTATTCAACAGAATATTTGATCCATTGGTCCATAGGTTCCTTGCCAACAAATTCCACAAAACAATTTTGAGAGAAAAAGCTGGTAAGGTAGTGCTAGCCTCACTGTGGTAACAACTTCAGTGTGTAGTGAGCTCATTAAAAATCACAGAACACTTTCACCTTCACCACCAACCTTCACCCTAAGGTTGGGACAGGGTTGCCACCCTTTCCATAGCAAGCAGAGTAGAATCAGAGTACATACGAGCCCCCAGACTCCTTGTGAAGAGCATCTGCCCCCTCCCACCTCCACTCACCAGTAAACACTTTGCACGCTCTGTTGCAGAGGTACCCTCAGCCCCGGGGACAGAAGAAGAAGAAGGTGGTGAAGTATGGCATGGGTGGCATGATCATCGTCCTGCTGATTTGCATCGTATGGTTTCCTCTTCTCTTCATGTCCTTGATCAAATCTGTCGCTGGAGTGATCAACCAGCCCCTGGACGTCTCTGTCACAATCACCCTGGGAGGATATCAGGTAATGCATGAGGGGAAGCTCATCCTGGGCTCAGCCTGGGTGTGGCTGCTCTCAGTGTCACCTACCTACTGTGATGAAAACCTCCTGTGGAATATTTAGTTATGTTTTGCGTACCCAATTGTTTTACCCAAATTTGGACTGTTCAGCAAATTTGTGACATCTGACATAAGGTGCAGAAGATGATGAAAGCATTGTTCTGTTCTGGTTTTAAGTATAATCACTTCAAAAAGAGATCTCTTACGCCAATTTCCATCTGGGTACTCAGTGGATGATATTCCATGTAAATGCTTTTCTTTTAGCCTAGCATGCAGAGAGGCCCCCATGAATGCTGACAATACCATGTACCTTTGTTTTCCAGCCTATTTTCACCATGAGTGCCCAACAAAGCCAGCTGAAAGTTATGGACCAGCCAAAATTTAATAAATTTGTGCGTTCTTTTTCTAAGGACACAGTAAGTAAACGCATATAGTAGCTCTCTATGAAAACCTTTTATCTAGGTGACTGGTTGTTGTATTATTTAATACTGCGCCATGGGCTGTGGTGGGGGAAGGAGGATTTTTTAGCATTTATCAGCCATAGACAGCAGGTTCCTGGCTACTGGCCAATTTGATCATCTATGAATGTATATCTATATTATTGGAGATAAGTGTTGATTGACATAATTTGAATTCAGAACATTTTAACATAAGCTCAACAAATACTGATTCCTTTGACCAATAGGCCTAGTGTGGGAATCTATCCCAAGGAAGTAATTCAGTACATGGGAAAGCTGTATGTAGGTGTTTTATATTAAGGCATTCTCTATATTAGTGAAAACTGGATGCAACTTGAAGGTTCAGCAAATAGGAACTGGTTGTGTAAATCATGGTAGCTGTACTCCATGAGGGACACGGCACTGGCTCGCTAGAGTGTAGTGGGAGAAGACAGGACTTCCACTTTTTGTTTATTTAGGTGCTATGATGTGTAAACGTTTTCCAAACGACTTCTTTGGTAATAAAAAATCATCATAACGAACACTATAAATGAGGTGACAATTTCTTAAGATAAAACATCATAATGTTCTGGTGGTAGAATTGTGGGTGATGTTACTCTTTTCCCTATATTCCAAACTTTTAATGATATGATAACATTACTTTCATAATTAGAGTTTGTTTTATGAATAATACATTTTTATTTAGAAAAAGTGATCAGATGCTTTTCTTTTGTAAAATTACCAGCCTACCGTGCACACTGTCAAAACTAACCTCGAGGATGAGCAGCTATTAGGTCAGGACCAGGATGTCCCAGTGGATTAAACTTTGGTTTTCAATGTTCCCTAATAGTTTCCCTCAGTGGCAAGGGAAAATGATCCTAAATTGTCTGGGTTTTCCTTGTTCACTTCGAGAGACTGAGCCGTTTACTTGGTGGTGGCAGCACCCACAGTGGGATGGGGCCATGGGCCTACAGCTGCCCCTGCCTGCCTAGTGCAGCAGAACACTCATGACAATCAGTCACGCAATGTTTCCTTTCAAAGGGAGAAGTCTCTATACAGTCAGTTAGAAGGTGGAATAATTCTTTCTTTATGCAGCATCATGTGTATGATCTATTTATGCATGTGTATTTGTGCCCATACAGGGTGCTATGCAATTTCTAGAAAATTATGAAAAAGAAGACATAACAGTAGCAGAACTGGAAGGAAACTCAAATTCTTTGTGGACCATCAGCCCTCCCAGTAAGCAGAAAATGATACACGAACTCATGGACCCCAGTAGTAGCTTCTCAGTTGTTTTTTCATGGAGTATTCAGAGGTAGTTACTGTATTTCCATGCAATTTCTCCCTTTCCCCAATCTGTACTTGGGGTGGGAGGGTGGAGGGATATAAAGAGATAAAAATTAGATTAATGTGGATCTTATTTCATCATTATAACCATGGGAACTTTCTGTTAAAGTTAACATTTTTTGTTTATTAAATGATGAATTGCCCAGTAATCACTTACAAAAACAAAAAGAACAAAGGACTTCTTAGCATTCCTTTCTTCTATTAATTTCAATTTTTTAAAAGAGGCTGGCAATGAGTTCTGTGGGCAAGAGAGAGAGAAGAGGCAGAGAGAAGAGCAAGAAGACAACCATGAGTCTGGGTAAATTGTAAGGCTTCCCTTAAAGGTTCAAGTTTGAGCTTATGAATGAAGAACTTGCTGCCTCCACAACCCAGACTTTCACTGAGGAAGCCTCAGCAGAGCTGCTCCCCAAACAAGAGTGTGAGAGCAGTTCGGTGGTGCCTGAAGTGGGAGTGCTGATGGAGATTCCTTCCCAGCAAACCCAAGACCATGGCTAGCATGCAGCCACTACTTCCGTCTTCTCTTGTGTACACAAAGCATGTCTTAGAAAAGTTCTTATCCGAAAGTAACATCTAAAAGCGCAGCATTTGGGGGAAGCAGTAATGGGGGCTCCAGCACAATACACTAGTTGATTAGCTTAGTTGCTTTTATCACAGTCTTATAACTCTAGACTGTAAGCGAGTTCATTTGGGCAGTGAAGTAACAGGTTCATTTGAGTCCATGGTAGCAAATTCTTCGTTGGAATTAAGGTCTTCTTCTGACAGGTGCAGAAGAAAGCCTTCTAGAGTCTAGAGAAAACTTACAAGGAAATAGTAAAGAAATACGTTGAAGGTGCTTATTCAGAATTTGAAGAACTCCTTATTCAATCTCATTTTTCTCCTTTTAAATGTTCCAAATGCCTCTCATCCAATTCTGCATTAACTGGCCAAAAATTTACTTCATAGCCTTTTCTTTGAAGAGCCACACACACAAAAAAAAAAAAAAACAGTGAAAATCAACCTCTGATTGAACATTCATTTTGTTGTTGTTGTTGTAATTTTTTAATTTAATTTTATTTTTGGTGAAAATATACACAGTAAAACCCCCTCCCATTCCATAGTTTGTAGATGTAATGAGTAGTGACATTGATTACATTCTTCACATTGTGTCAACATTCTCCTTATCTCTATTCTCTAGTTGTTACACTTCCATTTACTTAATCTCTCTGCCCCCCAAACTTCTCACCTATCCTTTAAAACATCTGTTGCCTCTTTGATCATATATAGATATTTTTCTTTTTTAAAGAAATGCAATACTCAAGGGTGACAATCTTTACTCTGGGCTTAACTGTAACTTAGTTAAAGCTGACTTCAGGGGATAGTTTCAATTCATGGTTTGAAGACCAGCTCAGGGCCATAGTCTCAGCAACTCCTCCAGCCTCAATAGGACCAGTAAATCTGGATTCATTAAGAATTTGAAGGTCTGAGTTCCGTGGCCACCTCTGGTCTAGCCAGTTATGAACAAGGAGGCAGAGTCACATGGTGCAGAATTTGGCTAGTGTGGGTGTGACACTGTCCTGTGTGAGGGAATGTCTCAAGGAACAACTTTTTTTTAAATTGTACTTTAGATGAAGGTTTACAGAATAGTTTATCATTAAACACTACACATATTGTTTTACGACAGTGGTTAACAACCCCACTACATGTCAACACTCTCCCTTCTCAACCTTGGGTTCCCTATTACCAGCTTTCCTGTCCCCTCTTGCCTTCTAGTCCTTGTCCCTGAGCCATTGTGCCCCATTAGTCTCGTTTTGTTTTATGGGGCTGTCTAATCTTTGGCTGAACAGTGAACCTCGGGAGTGACTTCATTACTGAACTAAAAGGGTCTCCGGGAATGAAAGGACAACTTCTGACCTCGTTAGTACTCTCACACCCGTCTTCTGATGAAAGCGTGGTTTGCCATAAATTATGTTCGCTTCAGTATATAAATATTTGTAATGAGACTTTAGAGCCTGATTAAAAAGCAACTTCATTTTTTTGTTGTTGTTGTACTTTGGATGAAGATTTACAGAATAAAGTGGCTTCTCATTGAACAGTTAGTACACATATTGTTTTGTGACGTTGGTTACCAGCCCCACGATGTGTCAGTGCACTCCCTTCTCGACCATGGCTTCCCTATTGCCAGCTTTCTTGTCCCCTCCTGCCTTATAAAAAAAGAAAGAAAAACAAAAAAAGAATTTGAAGGTCTGTTCCACATTTTTCTCCCTTTTTATTAGGATTTATCTATTGTGTTCCTGATCAGAATGTTCAGTAATGGAAGCCAGGCACCATCTATATCTTCTGGTCTCAAGGTAGAGGAGGCAGTGGTTCATGTCGACAATTAGTTCTATTGTCCAATTCCTTCTCTGATTCTCGGATTTCCTTCTTTCTCTTTTGTTCCAGATGAATAAACCCAATAGTTGTATCTTAGATGACTGCTTGTAAGCTTTTAAGATCTCAGACACTACTCACTATACTGAGAGGTAGAACATAAACTCTGAGAAATGTATTATGCCAACTGACTGGATTGTCCCATGAGACCATGGCCCTAAGCCCCCAAACCAAGAGAATTATTCCCATGAGGTGACTGGTTATGTTTAATTAGTATCAGCATCTATAGCCTCCCTTCCTTTTTTTTTTTTGTTTGTTGTTATTGTTGCAAAACCATACACAATCTAGCATTTGCCCATCATCCCTTTTCCCTATATACAGCTTGTTGACATCAGTTACATCAGTCATGCTGTGCAAACATCACCCATATTCGGTGCCACATTTCCTATTACTATAAACAAAAAGTGACCACTACCTACAGAGTTCTTCTCCCTCTCCCAACTCCCACCCTGATAACCACTAATGAACATTAGTTTCTGTATATTTACCTATTCATGTCGTTTCATAAAAGTGAGAACATACAGTATTTGTTTTTTGTGACTGATTGTGCTCAACATACTGTCCTTCTGGTTCATCCATGTTGTAAGATATTTCAGGAACTCATTTTTCTTTATCACTGAGTAGCATTTCATTGTATGTATGTACCACATTTTACTTATCCATTCATCCACTGATGGGCACTAAGATCGTTTCCATCTTTTTGCTATGATGAATAGTGCTGCAATGAACACAGGTGTGCATATGCCTGTTTGTTTCACTTCTATTAGATCCCTAGGGTACATACCTAGGAGTGGAATTGCTGGGTCACATGACAGCTCTACCTCTAGTTTTTTGAGGAACCGCCAGACTGTTTTCCACGATGGCTGTACCATTTTGCATTCCCATCAGCAATGGATGAGAGTTCCAGTTTCTCCACATCTCCTCTGACATTTATTATTTTCCTTTTTTTTTTTTTTTTTAATCTTAGCCATCGTGGTATCTCATTGAGGTTCTGATTTGCATTTCTCTGATGATTAATGATATTGAGCATCTTTTCATGTGTCTGTTGGCCATTTGAATATCCTCTTTGGTGAAGTGTCTGTTTATGTCCTTTGCCCAGTTTTTGACTGGGTGGACATTCTTTTTAAAACATGGATTTTATTAGTCACTATGGAGACTGGCATCATTGGGTTAATATAAGAGAGCATTTCTGACATTCATACTAGAGCGCCAAGCCCGGTCTCTATTCTGGTCAGCAACTCTGCCAGCTTATCTCCACCTTTGCTCTAATGGATTTTGTGGACTCCCTGGCTTTGTTAACTTGAGTGTCTAAGATGCTGGACATAGAGGTGAGGCGGACAGGAAAGATTGGGATGGATGATCGTGGACCCAGTGAAAAATGGTGGTAGTAATAAAATTGAGAACCAAGTGAGTTTTTAAAACTCTTCCAGACTTCTGAGTAACCACTGACATTGATCTTTCCTTCTTTCTTTTTCTTTTTTTCTTCCACAGAAATATGAGTCTGGGTGCAAAAGCAGAAATAGCAACAGATAAACTTTCCTTTCCTCTTAAAAATATTACTCGAGAGAACATAGCTAAAATGATAGCTGGCAACAACACAGAAAGCTCAAAAACACCAGTGTAAGTTTGTTTTTCCTATTAATATGGTATGAACAGGCGTATGTAGCTGGTACAAAATTGCCATCTACAAATTCACATGTGCAAGAAATGCAACTGTCTTCATTCTTCTGCAACTCAACTGAATTTCTATTGGGAAGTCCCATTTTGTTAGATCAAAGAAGCTTAATCTCAGGTTTTTGCTCCACTTTTCTCTGGGCTACATCTAAGTTCTGAATGAGGGCAACAGGGAGTAATTATATGGCACCAAGGCTTAAGGAGATGGAGATAATCTATCCTTGGTAAGGTGCTGTCCTGTGGACTTCCACTGAACCACTCTTCCAGGTCCTCAGTCCTATCTCCACCCTGCAAGCCTCGAGATTGGGCTCTCAGCCATTTGGATCCTATTTTGGGACACTCTGGAAATCACTGTGCTGATTTGTATGCCATAGGAGGTGTGGAAGCCATGGGAGCCTTCCTAGGACATCTGTCCAGACAAAGCATGTGGCCAACAGTGCTCCAAACTTAGCAGCAAGAGCCCAGGGATGCCCACGGCACGAGGGCATCCCTGGGCTCTTGCTGCCCTTAAGGGCTCTGCTCAAGGATGAGACACAGGACTGCACCAAAATGATCTAGGTTTTTTGCCATCCATGTCACCTGATCATGGGTGCTCACTTCAGCCATCCACCCTCAATGGAAGGAGGAGGGGCTTACGATTCCTTCTTATGGACCCACCAGTGTCTAAATTCTTCCTCTCTAACTCCCTGTTTGGGGGAAAAACTGTATATCAAAATATTATCATGCCATGTAAGTACTCCATTTCAAACAAATCCAAGCTGTGACGTTTACATTCTAATATGAGAAGTAGCAAGAGAAAAAATGATATAGATCTAAAACTACTGAACAAATATCTCAGATGTCCACCAGCCATTTCCCCACTTTTGCCATTCTGTCTCCCCTGGGCTCATTTCAATGTATTGAATATAAGACCCACTATGATGCATCCCTTAGAAATGTTCCATGCCTAAGATAGCCTTTATTAATTACCAAATTAATCACTTTATTCATCAGTAAAGTTGGAAAGAAGGAGCTCTGTTTGCCCAATGGTTCAGCGCTCAACTGTTAACAGAAAGGATGGCAGTTCAAACCCACCCAGCGGCTCTGTGGAGAAAGACCTGGCAATGTGCTCCCATAAAGATTAGAGCCTAGAAAACCCTGTGGGGCAGTTCTGCTCTGTCACATGAGGTCTCTATGAGTTGAAATAGACTCGACGGCTCCTAATAACAACAATGAAGTTGTAAGGGCCCTTAAAGATACTCAAATCCTCCACCATTATTTCTCAGATGAGAGAGCAGGTCTAAAAAGGCATAAAGACTTGCTCAAGTTCACTAAGGTCTGAGGTGGCTGAGGTAGGGGGTGAGGGCCAGGCAACCAGTGCTCCCCTCATCCCTCACTCTTATCACTAGATCAATTTATGCAGTCCACTGGACTAGATACTTTTTTTAAATCCTAAAAATTAAAGCTAGAATAGTTCTCAATGATTTAGATAAGAGTTGTAGAACCCAACAAGAAAGGCAGACCTCTGGCTTCAGAAAAGGTCACAGATGTGGGAAAATGTCTATAGGAAGGAGTCCTTAAGCTTTTAGTTAGCTTGTGTGCAGAGTTTGCATGTATATCTGGATAAAGCTGATTGCCTGGTGAATTCGTTCAACTTCTAAGAATTTTGATTATAGTGGAAACTCAGTTAAGATGTGGTGGTTCCGTGGTAGAATTCTCTCCTTCCATGTGGGAGACCCAGGTTCAATTCTCAGCCAGTGCACCTCATGTGCAGCCACCTCCCATCCATCAGAGGAGGCTTGCATGTTGCTATGATGCTGAACAGGTTTCATCAGAGCCTCCAGACTAAGACAGACTAGGAAGAAAGTCCTGGTGATCTACTTCTGAAAATCAGTAAATGAAAATCCTATGGATCACAACAGCTCAGTCCCCAACCAATCATGGGGATGGAGCAGGACTGAGCAGCATTTTGTTCTGTTGTGCGTGGGGTTGCATGAGTCAGGGACTGACTCCATGACAGTTAACAACGACAACAGCACCTTGTGTAGATATATGAAGACTTTTATCATCATTTGTATAAGGTCAAAAACAGCAATAAAAAAAATCAAGTTTAGGTCAGTAAAACAACTAAAAATTATATCTTTTTTTCGCTTAACACACAGGACTATAGAAAAGATCTACCCATATTACGTGAAAGCACCTAGTGACTCTAACTCAAAACCTATAAAGCAACTTTTATCTGGTAAGCATGAGAAGAAATCATTTCTGAACTGTTTTTAATCATACTGTTATTCAGTTTTAACAGTTTGCATTTTCAGCCTTTATCAAGTTCCTTTCCAGTTAGCTTTCCCTATGTGGCATGGCTTGAAGAAACATAAACCCTGTCTGCCTTCACTAGTTAGGGTTAGTCACTCAGGGGCCAGACTCTTCATTTTCTTCTTGTCATTGATGTAGAACCTGATTGACTTAAATCTATATTTCATGACTTAAGTTACTATTAATCAGTCTGCTTACTTGTTTCTATTAGCAACCATATCTTTTGCAGAAAACGGCTTTATCCAGTGTTAACTATGATGACCCCTCACAAGAACAGTAAAAATATAGCATGAAATGTACTTGATTCAGCCCCGGTTATTAATTATCAGTAGTAGGGCTCTAATGACTTTACTTTTCCAATGTAACAGTGATGGTAGTAAATCATTATTTTTGGATTCTTTTAATTATCAAGAATTGTTTGACTTAATCAATTACCTCTACCAGCAGTAGACCTATACAGGTTACGGTAAAGGTTAATGAAGAATGCAGTTACCTAACACATGTCCATTCAGTCAAACCCATCTTAAAAGTCATCTCTTTTGTGAAGTCCTCATGAATCATACCAACCAGAAGTGGTGTCTCCAACAGACCCTGTCAATTCCAGTCCTAGGGTAGTTGCCACACACCCATAAATTGTTCTGGTGTACATGGCCTTTTTCCCATAGACATAAGGAACACTGTTGTATGCAACTTTGTAACCCTTTTGTACCTAATAGAATGCCTTCCTCCTAGGAGACACTCAGTAAATGCTGGTAATATAAATGAATCAGTCATTTCAGTCAAGAGTCAGTGATCTGGGTTTTTAAAGGTGTAAGGAGTTGTTTGAAATTATCAGCAAATGTTCAGAGGATGGAAAACCTCCTCCCTGTAAGCTGGCCACCGTGCACATATGGCTATAGTGCATGGCCTCTTCAACTGAAAAAGAGAAACCCCCCACGGAGTCCTTTCCCATTCACATTGTCTCCATGCTCTTATGCCCCTTTTATCCTGGAACTGTATGGTATAGATAGTCACCAAGGTTTGCCATCTAAGAACTGTTGCGTGCATTAAATGCTAAAATTCTCATGTTAACTTGCTTCCATTTTTCTCCCCTTACAGAAAATAATTTCATGAATATCACCATCATTTTGTCCAGAGACAATACAACTGAATCTAACAGTGAATGGTGGGTTCTCAACCTGACTGGAAATAGAATATACAACCAGCATGCTCAGGCCTTAGAGCTGGTGGTCTTTAATGACAAAGTCAGCCCCCCCAGTCTTGGGTTTCTGGCTGGCTACGGGTAAGGACTCATTTCACAATTAACAATTACAAGTGTGTACGTCTGTATCATAGAAATTTGAGGATGGGAAGCCTTTTATCTTAGAATTCTAGGATTTTATAGCTGCAGTATTGAAATTCACATCTCATAAGTTCTTCATTTTAAAAAATGAGGAACCAGAGTCCCAAAGAGATCAAAGTGCCTGGTGAGTCCCTAGTGAGGGGCAGGTCCAGAAGCCACATTAACAGTCTTCCATGCCTGACACCTTAGTGCTGTGGCATAGTTTGATATCATTCAGTGTTTATATTTAGAAACAGGCATACGGCTATCTCTTTTTTCCCTTCTGAAACTTAGCAGATATGATCAGTTGAACACCTAGTTTGGGACAGGTTAGATATTATCAGATCACCATATTCTGAGGCTAAAATTTGTATCCCCTACAGAGATTTCCCAGAATTAACCTCATCAGAAATTATTTTCCACCCAGAATTTTATTATAAAAATGAATCTCTAAGAAAGATATACATATGGTACTTTGAAATATGTCCAGAACATACAGTACACTGAAGTGAAAAGAGCTGGTTGCAAAAAAGTGCATATAGTACAATTGCATTTCCACCAAGTATATTGTGTAGTTTATGTGCATAATATATGCAGTAAAACCACCTGAAGTTTATACATGAAACTATTGGTTTTGGTTATTTCGAAATATGAGATTGAAAAGGACTTTTTATTTTTCAAGTCTTATAGGTCTAAAATGTGTACATTTTTTTCAAAGAATATGAATTACCTTTTTACTCAGAAAAAAGTTTAATTTTTTCACCAAAGGGGGAAAAACTTAAGCTTTGAAAGCTTATATCTTCTATGATATGATAGAGTTTGAGGGAAAATGTTAATATTTTTTCATGTAGAAGTATTCTATCAACCATATTTAACTGCTAGATACAATTTCTACTTAATTTTTTTCTTCAGTATCATGGGATTATACGCTTCAGTTGTCCTTGTGATTGGGAAGTTTGTCCGTGAATTCTTCAGTGGGATTTCTCACTCCATCATGTTTGAAGAGCTTCCAAATGTGGATCGAATTTTGAAGTTGTGCACAGATATTTTTTTAGTTCGAGAGACAGGGGAGCTGGAACTAGAGGAAGATCTTTATGCCAAATTAATATTCCTGTACCGCTCACCAGAAACAATGATCAAATGGACTAGAGAAAAAACGGATTGATACCTAAGGACAGAGACAGCAAATGAAGTTGATGTGTGAATTTTCAAAAAAAAGCACAATATTCTCATAAGAGCTAAGCATTTTCTAGTTCAATGGAAATGGCTTCTCTTCTGACAGGTGGCCAAAGGAGTTCCCTTCCTTTTGAAACAAAAAAAAGCTACCTTGCAAGTTAAGGCTCTGTTAAAGTTCTTTGTAATTCAGTTTCTCTGAAATCAGAGTTACTTGCTTTGTTTTAGTCAGCAGTGTCTTGCATTCGGATTGACTACATGAAGGAACCACTTGTGGCCCCGTTCCTCTGAGAAAGCAGAACAGAAGGAGCAGCGAGACGGAAAGGTGGCCCACATTTCCTCTGCTGGGGCTGCGCCTTTCTGGAGAGACGCGCTCACGCAATATACGCAGCACGCGGCTCTCCACCTCCGAGTGGGAAGCTGCTGTGATGGAGCTCCGTGAGTCTTCAGCGCACGGCAACACGAACAGCAATAGGAGGCTGAACCCTCTGGGGACAGGGAGAGGGGGTCCGGGACCCGTTAGGATGCCAGTGGAAGGAAAAGCCTCACTCTAAGCAAAAAGATTAACAGTTAGTGATTCTCTTACTGCCTTATCTTAACGGAAGACTAATTAGACATCTTTCCATTAAATACCAGTGACTTCTCAGGAAGAACAAAAGCAGCAAAAACAACTCTGTGGACACCTGGGTTTTGGAGGCCCAGCTAGTGACTTGCTTCCCTGACGGCGTTCTGCTTCAGAGACTTACAGCTCCTCATGAAACACGGACGTGAGACAAAGGAAACACCGCCACCCCAGCTGCAGTGGGAACTCTGCCTTTGTAACTCTTTAATAACTGAGGTCACGATTGCTCTTCTGTCTTCTCCCCCCTCAACATGCTTTTTCCCATGTCGATGATTTAAGGGAAAGATTTTTCCAGTATGTGACGTTCTCCTTCCTATTTTTCAGGTATATCAAAGAGTTTACATATTCCAATTCACATTTTTACATCTGAGACGGGTTTTTTAAGTTCATAATTATGAAAGAAATATGTATATTGAGCTTGGGGAAATAAAAATGGCATTTTCTTAAATTATTATTATTGATAATACCACATCTTCATTAAATAACAATGTAGCATGAAAAATTTATGATTGAAATGTAGTTTTCATTCCATATTAAAATACAGTTTCTGAGAAGAATCATTGAATGGGCTAGAATATGTTTAAAAATGATACTGTGTAGTTTAGGTTCAGGAATGACTTAAAATAAAGCACATGTTGCAAAGTCATTTTCAGAATACTCTTTATTCTGCCTTTTTGCATGAAACGTTTTCAATGGAGGTTCCAGGAGTTAAAAAAAAATCAGCTGAGATGAAGAAGCTACTTCCCGTTGGTTTTGTTGTTTTTGCTCATTCGGGTGTTCTATGTGCATCATATAAGCAAGAGACAACAAATTAATTTCCTTAGAGAAACTATCATAGTGAATATGGAACTTTAAAAAAATAGTAGAGTTCGCGTAGTATTTAGTGCTTCCAGAGAATTACTATGTATTTATTCTCATGCTGTGAAAGCCAGCATACCTGGGACCCAGTCATTGTAACGAGGGAATCAGACCACATTAGTGAACTCTGCAGAGGACACCATGATTCCTCAGCAACCGGAAGAATCGTTGTTCATGTTTCTGGTTGCGAATTTTTTCTTTTAAAAAGGTCAACACAAGGAATTCATCAAGAGCAAGTTATTTAGGAAAGAGTAGGGATATGTTCATGAGGAGAAAACATAAAGGGTACTAGATACAAGAATTAAAATATTCTTCAAGAAAACAATCTTCAGCATTCAAGAAAAAAGCTTCCAGGTGTGACAAAGTTGTCCTAAGCACTTAGGACAGCTTCAAGGCCCCAGAGCCACCTCTCAGCGTTCAAGAGCACAGCCTTTCCTTCTGAGACCTGACTCTGCCCTTCCACCCATGTTGACACAGGCTTCCTTTGCCCAGTCGTAGCCCTTCTGCTCATTGGGCTCCATGCCAGCAGCTGCTCCTCCACGCCGGGCAGTGTCCTGGGAGGAGCTGTCAGCTGGTTTTGAGAGTTCACTGGGCCTGACCCAGCCCTGTCAGATGGTGCCAGGGAACGCCACCTTGCCCACTGATGGGGATGGGTGCTCCCCACAGCTCTGTCAGGAGGGAGGTGTGCTGAGCTCTGTCAGACAAGGCCTCCCTTCTCTCTCCTGCCGCCAGTGTAGTGTGGCTCCCTGAACTTTCATGGCGTCTGTCTGTGGAGTTTGTCCTTGCTGTCCTGGTTCTCATCTGTTTCCCCCACCCAGGGGGAGGGGGAGAGAGAGACTGAGGAAGCCTGGAACATGAGGCAGCCACTACCTTTACCTGCCCAGAATTCCTCCACTCTTTGACGACAATATTTAACAAGGGAAGAATACATTTAATTTCCCTATTAAGAGATGACAGTCTTATATTACATTGGTCTGGTTATTGATTATTTGGTGTAACAGTGCTATGGTGCAGACAACACACGCAATCAGTACCTACATTGTTTTGAGTATGAAGAATTTTTAAAATAAAATATTTTTAAGTATTTAAGACTGTGTTTCCACATATTTTTCTTGATCAAATCTGCCTGTTATTTGCTATTTTATTTTATTAATATTTTCAAAGAGTGTCTAGCAATCTTCCCTATTGTTTATTTGCTTTTCAGTTGATACTTTTTTATTCCTATCTTTCATATTTCTTTTTTACTTCTCTGTGTTATTCTGTACTCTTTTTCTGACTTCTTCATTAAAGCTTAAATCTGCATTAAGACTTTTGGGACCCCCTTTGCTTTCTTTTACGTGAGACTGTTACACACTGCCAATCTGACGGGTAGTGCTTTCCAGAGTCCTGAAGACAGCAGATGGGTTGATATCAGAAGTGTGACAGAGACCGAGAAGAAGGCGGAAAGGGGCACTGAGGGCCTGACGGGAAGACTTAGAGAGAGGGGAACTTCAAAATCATACTACCAGTTGCTGTCCAGTGAACTCTGACTCATGGTGACCCCGTGTATGAGGGTGGAGCTGTTCTGGGCCCCCTGAACTGGCCCTGATCTAGTTTGTTTGTGTTCAGGGAGTGCCAGATGAGAGAGTTGCAGCCCTTCCTCTCCAGGCTCTTACTCCATCCACGGTGACCCACAGAAAGATCACTGGAGACAAGTTTGAGCAGCTGCTAGAATAATAATAATAATAGTAACCAGTAATGCTCAATTAGTATTAGCTCTGTTAACAGCATGAGGAGTCTAAGACAGAAAGAAGTTGAGATCTTTGTCAGAGGCATGAGTAGAGCCAGGATTTAGCTTGTCTTCAGGAGCCCAGCCTGCCTTTTATGGCCCCAGCATCCTGCTGCCCAGCATCTCGCTGACCTGACAGCTCCCTGTCCTCAGCCCCACCCTGCCCACCAACCATGGAGTTGCCTCCCAGCTCCACTGGTGCAGGCACACCCTCTCATCAGCTCATGCCTGGCCCGAGATTCCAAGATGCCTTGTTCTATATTTGATGTCAGGTTAGGTAGTACTGAGTGACTTTTAATCAGTCCCATCTCTGTGCCTCCAACCATATTTCTTTCTCAGGCCACCAAGTCTCTGTTGGGGACATGTGCAATGAGGTGCATCCCTTTCCACATGGAGGCATCCCTGTATCTCCCAAGACAGAAGGAGAAAGGGACCACAGAGGTGACTCTTGGTCTGTCTCTTACTCACCCTCTCAGCCCTTGGGTCTGAGGTGAGAGGAGCAGGTGCTGTGAAACCATGGATTTTTCTAATGATAACAGAGAGTGAGAGAGTGCTGCGCTCTAAGTATCACGTGGGCAACTGAACAGCCCTGCAAGGAGCTCAGGACCTCACAGGTTTCCTCCTCATCCTAGGAATCTGATTTTTGTGCTTGATGCCTAGTCTTTCCTTATTCTTTGAAAATCTTGTAAGTTAGCTCAGATGTATAGAATAGTGGCAATATGGAAAAATATTACTATAAAGATCAGTGATTTAATAGATTATGTTTTGATATTATGACATTTCTGTCACAAAATGAGACCCGGTGAACATCATTTGATTTTTACAGTAGACAAAATCTTTTCTTTCCCTTCCCCAACAGATGATACCCTGTTTCATTTGCACTAACAGTAACCACCCATGCTTCAAGACCATAACTGTCCAAAGGGAAGAAAACCCTCCACCTCCATTCTTGTCACAGAGGAAGCTAAATCCTCCATTTACCTTGATAAACTAAGCCTAGGCTCCATGGTTTATGCCACTTGGCTCCCAGCCACAGGGAGGAGTGGCTGCTTCCCTAGGCCACTGACATTGCCCAAAAGGCAAGGAGAAAAGGGGGTAAATCACTTTCCCAAATGGAGGTCCTCTGTTTGTCCCATGGTGCTGTAGCCTGAGAAACACCTCTGAAAGTAATACTGCAGCCTTTCCCTCTCTTGCTGTGTCTCCTACAGAAACCACAACCATGTGTTGAATTTGCAGAGGGTTCAGGCCCCTTGCTATGTGCTTTACATGGATTATCTCTTTCAGTGCTCACAGGAAGTCTCAAAATCAAAACCAAACTCACTGCCATCAAGTTGATTCCAACTCGTAGTGACCCTATAGGATGGAGTAGAACTGCCCTCATAGGGTTTCCAAGGTTGTAAATCTTTATGGAAGCCGACTGCCACATCTTTCTCCTGCAGAGCGGCTGGTTGAGTTTGAACTGCTGACCTTTTGGTTAGCAGCCAAGTACTTTAACTGCTGCATCACCAGGGCTCCTTATAGAAAGCCCATGGGGTAGGTATTGTTCCTCCCATCTTACAGATGAGGAGACTGAAGCACAGAATTTGTACATTCAGCCCAGTGTGGCACAGTCAGCACTCACAGCCACCATGTTCCCACCATACTTGTAATCCGCACACTATGTGACCAAATCCCCAAAGTCAGTCTTCTGGCTACAAAAAAATCATTGTGAAGATAATCAAGGGAAAACATCTGAAAACCTGGAGGAACATTTTTCCCAAGTGACTTTGTGCATGTGAAATAAAGTGTCTGTCATATTCCTCATCTATGCCTGCATGCCATACCTGCTTTCCCCTTTGTATTTGCATGAGAGTTTAATGTCTTCAACAAAGGGGTTAGTTGACCAAGATGGGAATATTAATTTACTTGAGAAACACAATAAGGTGCAATTCTTTCTATAGGTGTATGTTATTGTATAAAAGCCACTAGGTGCAATAGATAAATGTGGCTCCTCTAAGTTCCAGCCAGGGATAAGAGAAAGCACTAAATGGCATAACTGAACATCATACCTCTAGACAGTCCCAGCAGGGGACAGTGCACAACTCAGGCTCAAGCATGTGAAATGTCCACCCTGTCCTGTGTGTCCATACATGGTAGCAACAGCCATAGCTCCAAAAGGAGATTCCTGGGTGTGCTCCTTTTCAACCCACTAAACTTCCACCACTCCTATCATGTCCTTATTTCTAGGCACTTCTCCTCAATCTCCTTGCATAA